TCAACCGCCAAACACAAAAACCCCCAGGGTAGGCCCTAAGTGCCAATCCATCGTACAATCCTCAATGCTAGCTGATGACGCGTCATCACCATATTAGGAAACTACCCTGTCCCCTTCACCCATATAAGGAAACTACCCTGTCCCCTTGAATCCAATATTGAGAAGTTTTCCGCAAGGATTACAGCTGAAAAAATAGTCAAGTGAGTAGTTACAAGATAATTTTGCTGATAACTTTGCAAGCGAAGAATAATGAATCAACTTAAATTGATCGATTTATCGTTAATTTTAAAAATTTGAATTTCGTTATTTACGTACAGATTAATTTTGAACTTCGTTTATTGGATATTCTTTTACAGAGATGAAGAACCTATTAGTAAGCATTTTACTTGTGACCCCGATGCGAGAGGGACGAAATTTTAGATGACGACACAGCTTGCATCAAGCTTTGGACGATTCAAAATGATCACAAAATCCATCGATCCCATTGGCAGAGAAGTGGGCAACGCCCACTTAGGGCCTACCCTGGGGGTTTTTATGTTTGGCGGCAAGTTGTTGGAGGTTAAGTTAGAGACTCAGCAGACCATAAATTCATGTTTATTCATCACAGGCTTATTTGACTAGCAATAAAAGACTCAAGTAAGTAAATAGCGTGTCATTTTGTCCATGAACAAGAATTTTTCACGACTCAAAACAAGGAGTCTCCTAAAGCCCAGGTAAATTCCTTAACAATATTAACGATATTAGTGACGTAGATTATATCGCGCGGTTGCATAAGCGGACGGTACTTAATGAACGGCCGTTAAATAACGTGTTATGGTTGTCCTGGCGCCCTTGGCCGAAACATGTTGACAGAAATGTAACAGAATGTCGTTTGTAATTCGTAACTTTTCACGCTATTTCCAAGGAGAAATTAATTATACTTGTACTTTTAGTTTCAACAATAACTTTGAATAATATAATATAGTCATGCATAAAACTGCTAATTTGCATGTGAATGTCATTCCGGTACATGGGTAGGGGTATAGAATGTTGTCTCAGAAATCGCGAGGTTCGCCAAAAATTGTCCAAGGCTCGCAAGCTCGGCGCTTAAAATAAGGGACTCGGATTTAAAGTTGCTTTTGACTCGGAAGCTCTCTCTCAATTGCAGAAATATTGGACGCGTTCAACAAAAGGCTCGGGCTCGCAGGCTTGGTGAGGCTCGGATTTTACCATTCGATACCCCTATGGGTGGGTGTGTCTCATTCACTTAATTAAAATTGTTTAATATCCCTACATAAGTCTCACATACAGCTCTGTCAACTAGACAAACTAGACGTATACCGGTCATATGAAACTTATTGCCATACATCGGGTGACATTTGCTTGGATTATTGTCCAGGCTCACTCATGCATGCATCCATGCATGCATGTATATATGCATGTAATTTATTTATTTACTTCATGAAATATAATACAATGGAGTTGATTAATATTTTGTCGATTTTCGTCGATCGACCTCATTAACATCATCATCTGACCATTAAATACTATTAAGTAATGCCCCGAGTAAGAACTAGGGAAGCAAACGGCACAGGAATGCAAGAARGTGCTAATTGCGCATTGTATAATCCATCCATCCCATTGGTTAAAACATGAAAATCTGCTATAATTTCACAAGTTAGCGAATTTTCTAATATTTTATTTAATGTCTGTTTTCACTTTCATGAAAGCTTTCTTTAGCTTTAATATTAAAGGCAATTCTTCGTGGGGAACATAGCAAATTAGAAGCATCTTTTGGCTATTGTTTTGAGTGCTTATGATTGGATAAGAGCTTTTAATACAAAAGAAACTTTGTTTCAAAATAGAGTTTATCCACATTTTATTTCAAAAATGTGTTACCCACAGATGGATACATAATCAGTGTGAAAACCAAGACATTCGTACATGGGGAACTTGCTATGCCGCAGAACAATAGAGAGTTCCCTATTTCTTTAGCGCATTGTTACTTAATAGCAAAGTCACCTCTAGAAAGGAAAGTACATGTACATATAATATCACATGGCCGTGTCTCATTCACCTAATTAAAATTGTTTAATATCCCTACATAAGTCTCGCATACAGCTCKGTCAACTAGACAAACTAGACGTATACCGGTCATATGAAACTTATTGCCATACATCGGGTGACATTTGCTTGGATTATTGTCCAGGCTCACTCATGCATCCATGCATGTATGTATATATGCATGTAATTTATTTATTTACTTCATGAAATATAATACAATGGAGTTGATTAATATTTTGTCGTCGATCGACCTCATTAACATCATCATCTGACCATTAAATACTATTAATAGCAAAGTCACCTCTAGAAAGGAAAGTACATGTACATATAATATGGTGGGAACTAGCGGTAAACTAGTGTGAGCTGCGTCGGTGTTTCTAAAGAAACAGCTATGTAAAAAGATAAATTTAACACCGTAAAAAAGTATGTGGAAAAACTTACTGACGTTTCGGATGTTAATCCTTCGTCGGAGTATTAACTGTACATATAATATCATAGTTACGTTCACTGACTGATATAAATTTTTCAAATATTGAATTAACACAAAACTGCATAGTTTTGACTACATTTTAAACATATAATAAGAAAGCAATAATTTGAAAAATTCAAGTTTGATTTTTGTTGCTTGTGCCTACAGAAGTAGTCTCCTTTGCATCCGTTCATCGTCGGGACAGGAATCCCGAAACGCAAACGGATGCGAAGCAACGCCAACTCTTCAAAGGCGAAAATACATAATTGGAAATACACAGCAATGTCACACATACATTTTATTTCTTAAATCCGGTGCTAGGTTTTTTATTAACAAAATAAGTTATGCGCGAGGCCCAGTTTTTTGGAGCGAACTGTGGTGAAAACATGGATCGCCATACTATTTTAATGCTCAACTTCAACTCTTCAAGGGCAAAAATACATGATTGGATTTTCGAATTTTCTCACGAAAAATACCCAGAAAGGTCACATATAGATTTTATTTCTTAAATCCGGTGCTAGGTTTTTAGGATTGTTTTTAATGTCGCCGCATTTCTTCAAAAAGCCTTGAAATCTGGCCTTTTTCGTCAAATTTGGCATTTCATTCGGACTGTCAGGTCAAGCTTGAGTGATCACGGACTATTTGTCCCCCATAAGTTTCATATTAGTAAACTGTTAAACCTAACTCAGCAAAGAAATTGCAAAGACAATGCCATATCTATTTTTATTTTATTCATTTTTATTTTATTTTTATTTTATTTTTATTATTTTATTTTTATTATTTTTTTCTAGTTCATATGCCATCCACAACATTTGATAATAGACGTTAACTAATTTCTTTACCTTTATGCATATGAACTAGCAAACATGCCTTTATTGAAATAACACTTTTTGTGGTTTGTCTTTGACAATTATATGTCTCTTTCGTTATAGTTCATTCAATAGCTCCTTTCTTTTTTGTTGCTAAACTGTAGACATGTTAAGACTCAAGAAAGCGACACTTGCACTGCCAACAATTTCATTGGTCAAAGCACTGGCTACTCAACCAAGCATCCAGTCAACAAGTAGAGTCTCATTCAGCCCAATACCAGCCGCTGAATTAAAACAAAGAGATTTAAATCCTTTGGCAGGGAGAAAGTATCTGCCAGGGTCCTGGAGCCAAACATTCCCAAAGTACCTAGCGAACCCTAGAAAAGATTTTCCATATGCCCTTCAAGTAGAAAACGTTGACAAAGTATCCTTCGCGGAACTAGGGAAACTTTGCAGAGAAAAACTCGACGCCAATCTCTCTCGTTCTGGGGTGATTTTGTTTCGAGGAACTTGTATCCAGAATTCGCGAAATTTTAAAGAATTCACTCAAGCGCTTGGTTACCAAGCAGCAGGATATGAAGGAGGGACTGGGAATAGACAACAAGTGGACACCTCAGTTTATTCATCAACGGACGATCCAATGGACTTCAATATTGAGCTTCATAACGAAATGGCATGCTCAACTATCTATCCTAAAAAGGTAATTGTTCTGATAGCTCCAAGTTTAGAACCATCATAAATTGCAAGGCATTATGGGACGCCAAAATGGCTGCCATCATGGTCGAAGCAGTCCATCACTTTTTTTTCATTCATTCGTTGTTTTTTTTTCAGTTTGTTTTATGCGTTGATTAGCGTTCGTTCGTTCAATAATGCATCATCTAGGTTTCAAGACAGAGCAACAGAATCACAATAAATAACGTTAATATTTCCGTGCAGGAGTAAGTAAATATGATACTGAACTTAGATATTCATTTGCCTTAAAGTGTTTTTTTTTCTTGTTTGCCAGGTGATGTTTGCTTGCTTGACACCCCCAGGGCCCGAGAGTGGTGGTCTCACCCCAATCTCCAAGAATTCAGAAATACTCGCAAGCCTCGATCCTGAAGTTGTAGACATTCTAAAAAAGAGGAAGATCCGATATCTTAGATATTTGCCTGACGCAAAAGAAAACCCGTACGCATCTTGGCAGCAGTCTTTCGTGACCGAAGATAAAAAGGTGCGAAAGGGAGGATTATTAACTAATTATTAATTAGTTTAGACATGTATTGATTAAATTGCACTTTAGTTTTTCTAGATTTTAAAATTCAAATATTTTGCACTTACTTTAGACTGTTGATGACTTTCTGCAACGAGCTGGCTTCCATTACACCTGGGGTAAAGAGAACAACAGCTTATTTTATTGGTACGTGCTTGATCCGTTTATCCCCCACCCCGTCACAGGGGAACTAATCTGGTTCAACCAAGTCAATGTACACCACAACACCTACTACAAAGAGTCCCCGATGTTTGAAGGCGTTGACATGCCAAACGAAATGTGGCCCACACATGCACAGTATGGAGATGGCACTGAGGTTGAGAAGGAAGTTCTCAACCACGTACGCTCCGCCAATTGGGCAAACGCTGTTGGTTTTGATTGGCGGGAGGGGGATGTCATGGTTTGTGATAATGTTTTAGCGCAACATGGTCGATTAAGTTTTTCTGGACCGAGGAAGCTTCTTGCTCATCTCACAAATAATTGAATCATGCATTTAACACTAAAACTGTCAAGCAGTGTTTTCCGTCATAAAAAAACTAATTAAAAAAACATAAATAAACTGAAGTTAATAAAAAATTTAGAAAAATGATAAAAAATAAATGAATATAATGAATAAATGATTTGGCCGCTTCTTGACCTGTGCAGCTTCCAGCTGACAAATATTCTCAGATATGACCAAAAGACGAGATAAAAACCGGCCTTTTAAACTACATTGCCCCAACGATGAAAAAAATGTGAGTCCTTAGGGACTGTGCAATAATTACCAGGAGGTGGGGGCGTAAAACCAGATTAGTTAGAACCCCCACTCCGAAGCACAAGAAAATAGCTCTTACCCCCCTCCCCCTGCTATATTAGAAATAACGTCGAACCNATTAACCTTAGTTATAAAACAAGCACAAGCGAGTCGAGTCGTAGCAACCCAAAATTCACTAAAGACGAACCCAGATGCAAGAGGTGGCTTACTCAATGACATCTGGATCTAAGTGTAAAGACAAAAACTTTCAGGAGGAGCTGACAAGCAAATGTGGTGCCCTTGCTTCTTTCAAATAATTTTGTTGCTGGCAAAGGTTTTCTAGGTCCAAAAAAGGCTTATGCAACGTTTTTATGGTCAAAAACGACATTGATATTACTTGTGCTTGTTATGTCTAATAAATCATCAATATGTTTTTCAGCTTCTACATCTTCAATTTGTGTGAAAACTACATCCTGATCAATTTATGTGACAAAATTGAAAAAATCAATAGTTGAAAAAAATTCATATCTTGGTCAATTTCAATCACACATCAACGAGTCTTTGAATTTAGATTTCCATTAGTCAGGCACGTAGCGTTGACTTAATGTTATGGACATGTCAGGGACCGAGACATATATTATGGATCTGGGGTCTAACGAACGCCAAAGGCGGGAGTATTAAGAGAGTCTGGTCCTTCCGCAGAAAATTTTTTAAAACATTTTCAAAATTTGAAAGAAATAACTCTTGGAAATGCGATTTCCAGCATTTTAAGAGACATTGAAAATTTTGAATAAAACTTAAGGCCCCCCCTCTGTTAATTAGTTAATTGTACTTTGAGCCCCCTATCTTGCCATCAATTTTATGTAATGCCCCCCTCTGGTTTTACGCCCCCCCCCCCCCGACCCCACCTGTTAATTATTGCACAGTCCCTTAGAGCAAGTCGACTATACATAGGAAGACTATTCTTCATGTAACTTTAGTAGGATTTCATATAATAAAAAGCTCAGTCTCACAACGTGTTGTGATTGTTTGGTCAATAGAAGACGGCAGCCTATGGGACTGAAATGTTACCTAGGCTGGGGCACGAGGTATAGAATGCAACGAGTATTTTTGTGCCTACTACGAAGTAGTAGAGGCACAAACGAAGTAGTAGACACTTTGTTATCGTGTCTATGCAAATGAGTAAGTAACAATAGAATGACGTCAAAATTCAATCAATACCCCTTCGGAAGACCCATAAACACAGGAAGCCCTCGGAAGCGATCGGCAGAACATATAACTTAGTGCGAATGACCGCCGAAAATTCAATCATCTCTGCGGTTTTACGAACAAGTTCGTGAAAATTTCTCGTGGTAATTCACTGCCGTAAAAGTTTGCGAGGTACGTTTGCTTTTGTGAGTATATATTTTGCCTTAGTTCTTCTTTGTCAAAGCTTTCATATCCCAATATTCGGTGTAATGAAAAGTTCTATTAGTATTCTAAAAGTTTTAGGTCTTTCTTTCAGACGAAATTGCTCCTAACAGTCAGATAAAGCTCAACCAAACACTGGTTCTGAAACTTCACGCATGAACAAACAAAACACAAACAAAACTMTAATGAATGTATTCTATTAAAGAAACAAGATCAAACAATGCCTAGTTAGAACTKCCATTGTCCAAAATGGTGACTTAAACTATTATTTAGAWTTTATTTCATGGAGATATTGTTCGCACTTTATTACTTTGCCATCCAATAAAAAGTGCCTTGTATTGTTATTAATAAAAATACCTAACGATATTCTGCACTTTCTTTTTGTTGTTGTTGTTGTTGTCATCTCGGCTCATCACATCAACAGTACAGTACCAAAATGAAGGCTGTGCGAGGCTCAATATTTGTGTTCCATAGACTTAAAGCACCGATATTTAAATAAAATAAATAAAAATAAAAAAAAAATAAAGTCTTTTATTTTGAGAGGGTAGCACGTAATAGTCTCGAGACTAATAAACTTGTGCCCCTCTATATATTCACTCACACACTCACTACCTCAACATTCATTATTTTACCACACGACACTCCTCACAGCTAGTTTTTGACTGAGGGAGGAAAACCAGCGGACCTGGAGAAAAACCCTCGGAGCAAGGAARAGAACCAGCCWACAAACTCAAATCACATATAGTCCCGGACCGGGAATCGAACCAGGACCACAGCGGTGATAGACCGGCGTTTTAACCGCTCGGCAATCCTTGCTCCCCTCTAATTTACAATCTGCATACAATCGTAGTAGGCACATGCGCTGATTCAGCGCCTTTAATTTTTCCAAGTCAGATTGGATTGAAGTGATCATGGTTTTATGGAGCTGGATAACCTTATTGTTGAGACCACTGCCACGACGCGACACTTCGCAAACTGTCTGATTTTAATACTGTGGTATACTTGACTTTCACACGAAAGAATATCAGAGTGAACGATAAGGTTGGATAGCTTTTACCGCAAGCTGATTTGAATCACACGATTCTATTGCCGTGCGTCATGTTTACTGTGTCTACGCTCTTATAATCTAAAACAGTTGACTCTTAGAGCGTCAACTCGGGCTAGCTATTTTTGATATTTGAGAAAGGCGTATAAGCGAACGAGTGAAAGGTTTTTAAGTGAATTCCATTTGAAAAATTCTTAATGAGCCAGCACTTTTCAAAACCCTCAGGGCACGAGTACACACAGATCTGTCGTCAGGGTCTGAACTTGTTGCAGTCGGCGTTGTTATCACATACATTGACCTCTCGGATTGAAATAACCTCAGATGATTGAGTTACTATCATCCCCCATTGGTAAATTATCCGCCCCTGGGAAGCATGCCATTACTGAATAATCTCGTGACTGTTCTAAAGTGGTGATAAAGATAGATCGATTCTTAGAATATTTGTCAGTAGTCATGTGAGTAGTCCTTTCGTTTGAAGTCATTGAGGCACTCGTAGAATATACAGTGAGAGTTTTCACAAAGAAGATACCTAGGTTTAATATTACGCAAGTTATTATGAGAAGTCGACTGATGTTGTCAATCATAGGATTAATGTACAAAATACTGAACTTAATATTACGCAAGTTATTATAAGAAGTCGACTGATGTTGTCAATCATAGGATTAATGTACAAAATACTGAAGTTATGTACAAATTTCGCAACATTTAAGTGCCGTGACATTGAAAGGGGTCCAGGGCATGCAAGCCACATTGGAGCCTGCACTCATATTTATCCGGCCATCTCTAGCTAAAAAAACGAAAATCATGAAAAAAAAAGTATTATCTATGACAACGTCACAATTTGATAAGTAAAACGTTAAGAGAGAATGCTTTTTCGTGATGATTGATCATACACAAAGAGTATTCAAAGTAAGACAATATCATAAATGAATCGGTGTTGGACACATGCAGACCACAGACTGCAGACTGCAGACTGCAGACTGATAAAAGTAAATATATTTCATATGTAAAAGAAAGAACGCTTCGAAAGGAGACTACACATATAAGACATATGACAGATTATTGGTGAATTTTCAAGCGAGTACAAAACATTGCAGAACGACAACAAGATGTAGCAGGCCCGTAGCTAGGGGTTTTTATTTGCCCTAAGTGGACCAAATCGACAATCATAGTAAAATTTTACCTTTTTTTTAACCGAAATGGGTTTTTTGCCACACGCAAGCAGGATTCAAATGATAATGAGTTCTTTCTGGCTTTGTAGATATCTTAGTGTTTTGAGATGCTTTATCATACCAGCACCTAAACTCCATAGTTGTTAACACTACATCATGTGGCGGTGCTGGTATACCGGAAGGACCAGGTCGCAGCTTACCACCGCAGCCATAACATACTTGCGCTTTGCAGTCTGCTAGCCATCTAAGATTAAACGTGCCTTCACTGGTACTTAGCGGCACTTTATCAGTGTAAGTTCCTGTTTCATTTCTACCTGAAAGTTCCTGTTTCCTTTTGCGATTTTGTTTCTTTTGACAAGGTTTTTTCCCTGTGTTTTTTGGCGCTGTAAGGGATAAAGCATTTGTAATGTTCGGTCCCCCGTTTTTATTAATTCTAAATTTTATATATAGGAAATATATTTTGATCAGTCTGCGGTCTGCGGTCTGCAGTCTGCAGTCTGCGTGTGTCCAACACCGTAAATGAATAACTTATTTTTGAAACCTGTTTGCATTATCTGGTATCGAATTATTATCACCTAGAAGTTCATAAGTGCTTGAGGTCCTTTTCCATCCTGGAGTGCGCTACTAACAAGAGCTAATAAGGTAAAAATAATCATGCATTCTCTTATTTCTGGCTTTGAAACACACGGACTGCATACGACGAAATGAATGCTTATTTACATTCGCAAGGGTAAATAGTGCCTGAATATCGAGATGGAAGTGTTTCATGAGAGAGGTGAAGCAGCTATATGGACAGAAAGAACTTAAATTTATGGCGCGAGGAAAACCAACAACTATCCAGATTATATATTTTTCGCAATAGTAAATGATATTTAGTAATAAGTAATGGTGAAGCTGTCACATATGAACAACCACCAGGCTATTTTAGTTTTTATGATAAGATAGAATGCAAAAGTTAAGAGATTTCATAATGTTGATAGATTAGACAAGTTTTAAAAATACTGCCGTAATTTTTGACGACGACGAAAGGTGATGTGGTAACGGGCATTACGTAAACTGTTTCAAGATCTAAAGTCAAGACAATTCTTTAGTAGACACTACAAATATCTAATGGCGCTGGCAAATTATGTCAGTTTTTTATAGTGTCGAATAACTGTCCCTTGTAGTCCTTGAATGTTTGATAAACAATTTGCGACACCGAGACTAAGGCTCAGTGAAGGCTGGCAAGCTGGCAGACCGCGAGCCGATCGATCAATTTTCCTTTAGTACCTTTCATGGTAGCCATCAAGATAGCGTACATTGCACGTGAATTGTACGCGAATCGTACGTGAATCAAGAATCGAGAATGCAATGACTTTGAAGCTGCTGCGACGTTTTGTGAAAAAATGCTCTACTTTGATCAAGTCTACGCGCAACAAAAAATTTGCGAGACGACCTTAATCTAGCAGCACGTTAAGGATCAGTAATGCCTGTATCCGTCGTATTGCTAACACATTAAGTATGACAATGTTTTGAGTCTGTATACGGCAGTTGTAGTTTGTAGATCAACTTGGGCAGGTTGCATGCGATAGTTGTAGGTCGTAAATAACGTTTCATCTTCTTGTTCTTGCACATCGTTTCACAGATTCAATAGACCGTTTGCCAAAATGACACGAAATGACACTGAAAATTAACTCTGAAACATGCAGAGAGATTCTTCTTCCGGCCTTTGATCTTAGAAGCTGACTTGATACCGCTAGTGGCCAGTGTAGCTAAAAGTCTTAAATATCAAAACCATATATAAGTAGCTTACAATTATTTTACGTCCGTTAGTAAATGCTTTTGTTAGAATCATATCTGAGATCACTACAGTAGGTGATGCTGTGATAGAGACAGTATAGCATCTATAATTAGTGTATGGATATGCTAGAAGTGGTTTGCAAGATATTCATTTTCAACTGTTGTTATAATTCTTGTGGTAACAGGGTAAAAATTCTTTAAGTGTTGTCCTTCAAACGCACTAAGTTTTGTGGAAGGCGAAATGAAATGTTACGCAGGAGGTAAAATTTGATAACTTTGGAATGTTTCAGCTCAGTAAACACTCCGTGATTGGATTTAAGATGACTTTTGCCAGTTTGCTTCATCTTTTACCTTTGACACAGCTTGGAAATGCATCGAGTCGAAAACTTTCATCACACAGAATCACACAGCCAAAAATAGTTCTGTAATTTGAGTTGAGACGAGGAAGTCGGATCAGAAAAAAACAGATCGATATGCCGTCACGTTGAAAATAGATAGTTTTAGTTGTACTTTGATAAACTTAGTACGAAACTTTTGATAAGAAAATCTTTTTATTTTCTGTTTATTTATTATGTTGCTCTTATATTTTCCAGTTTGAGTTCAGTTTTTTTAACCATTATTGTTTTGTCCAATTTTAAATCGAAACATTTTAAAAACAATAGTTTTATTGCTGTTCAATTTTAGACATGTTTAGACTTAAGAAAACACTAGAGGTCTCAAGACTCTCATCAAAACTATCATTGGTTAAAGCGCTGGGTACTCAATCAAGCATTCAATCAACAAGTAGAGTGTCATTCAGCCCAATACCAGCCGCTGAATTAAAGCAAACACACTTAAATCCTTTGGCTGGAAGAAAATGTCTAGCAGGATCCTGGAGCCAAACATTCCCGAAATACCTAGCGAATCCAAGGGAAGATTTCCCGCATGCTTTGCAGTTAGAATATAATGACAAAGCGAACTTCAAGGAATTAGGAAATCTTAGCAGAGAAAAACTCGACGCTAATCTTCCTCGTGCTGGCGCAGTGTTATTTCGAAGGACTGGTATACAAAGTTCGCAGGACTTCAAAGAATTCATCCAGGGGATTGGTTACGAGACCTTGAAATACGAGGGAGGGGTTGGGAATAGATCTGAGGTCGATTCTCAAATCTTCAGTTCTACTGATGACCCACCAGAGCACAACATTGAGTTACACAACGAAATGTCAGGAACTCCTTATTATGCTAAAAAGGTGAGTTTCAAGAACTCAATTAAAGAGAGAGACTTATATATTATTAAAACAGTTAAGAGCATGCGCACAAAGGCCTTGACAACTTCACAGGCGCCGGTGTTGCTTGCGGCCTGCAGTTTTACACGGCAGCTTCAAGTCAATTGAAAAACTCTACAGACGACTGTGGTTATAATTTACCGATTGCGCGTGATTCTGTCGATATCCTGATAGGATGCTGATGTTTTATTCATCTTCCCTTAGAATAACGAGCGACGCGCATGCATAACTCACATAATTCACGTTTTTACACGATTTCCACTTGGCATTATCATCATTGATAATAACTATCTTTTCTGTTCATAGGTGATATTCTGTTGTCTTCAGCCTCCAAAACCCAACTGCGGTGGTCTCACTCCAATCTCCAAGAATTCAGAAATCTTCAAAAGTCTTGATCCTGATGTTGTTGACATTATTAAAAAGAGAAAAATCCGATATCTTCGATACTTACCTGACTCCAAAGATAACCCTTATATGTCCTGGCAGCAGTCGTTTGTGACCGAAGATAAAAAGGTGCCTAGCAGATGATTCCATAAATCATATTATTATGAATTATAATTCATTAAATTTTATACCCGATGATTATTAGCTGTCTCAGTTTACGCTCAGATTACGCAAAATACTTCAGTTTTCAGGCTCAGGAAATTCTATTCGTACGCGTAAAGTAACGCGGGTGCGCGAATACGAAATACAGACGTTTGAAAACTCTGAGCCTTACAAGAGGATTAAAAATGGACTTCACTCGAGAGTAAAGAAGCCTTCTTTGACAAGAAGGGCCATCTCCAACCGGCATTCCTTACGAGCTATGATTAGTCGTCATTGTAGTTATCCCCTTATTTTCTATAAATTAAAAGTAAGATATGTTCTTTTAAAAGCGTTAGGTGGAATATAGTAAGCGGTTTCACTGAAAAAAATCGCGCGCTTTAAAGGTTGTACATTTGATGTAAATATGATGTAAGTGTCAAAAATTCTTACAACCTTTAAAACACGCGATTTTTTCCAGTAATTATTGGTATTAATCTCAAAACGGCGACTATTTTTATGCAAGTCACGACCGCATGCTTCTTTTTTTTCAGGTTGCTGAAGAATTCCTTCAAAACGCTGGCATCAACTTTGAATGGATCGACTCTACTTGTTTATGTTTATGGCATGTTCTTGACCCCATTGCGCCCCATGTAGTGACGGGTCAGCCTGTCTGGTTCAATCAAATGGAGTCGCATCATAATTCTTGTTTAAAAGAATCGCCCATGTATCAGGGTTTAGACCTACCAACTCACATGTATGCCTTTCACACGCAATTCGGAGACGGCCAAGAAATCAATTCGGAAATCCTTGATCACGTGCGAAGCGTTAATTGGTCCAAAGCTGTTGGTTTTGATTGGCAGGAAGGTGACGTCATAGTGATGGATAACATGGCCGTTATGCACAGCCGGCTCAGCTTTAGTGGCCCGAGGAAGATTGTAGTTTCGCTGCACAACTAAAACATATTAATTTTATAATCAGATGTAGACTGATTTCGCCATTATTGAGTTGTAGTTTTAGCTCCTCAGAATTTGGGTTTTTCCAAACAGCGGACAGTGCAGTGTATTGACTTGTATATCATGGAATCGCAGATCAGCGTTAAATTTGGCACCAAAGACCACACCTTCTAGGATTGAATTGGATGTTATAAAAAATACATAAGGGACTAGGGAAAACAGAATATTTTACAGAGAATACTGTTGTATCGCGACCTAGAAAGTTTGAAGTTCGCTTGTCGTATTTTTAGTTTTTACTTTTACTATATAAAATATATAGATAATATATAAAAAAACAAAATCATACATTTTTATACAAAATCTCTTATAGTGATGAGATTTTGTGCTCAAATAGGCCAAATACAGCTGATTTATTGTTTGAAACTTCGCCACTTGTCGCATACAAAACCCATGAATTCGGACAAGACGATGTTCAAACACTTACCCTGCGAGCAGAGGAATTTTTCCCCTATCTATCTATTTTCCTTTTCTTCGTAGAAGGGGGTGGAAAATTACTCTGCTCGCAGGGTATCAAACACTTTGAGGTCGAGGTGCAAGAAGCTTTTTTTCTGTAATCATATAAATAACTTACTACACTAATTACTACATTCAAGTTTATAACAATAATGTGTCATCACACGTGCGCCATGTTTCATCAAATGCTTCAGTCAAGGCGTTAAGGGTACAGACAAAAGGTTACCAAAGCTCTGCCTTTGGAATCATGAAGTTTTGTTCGGCCTGTTTCACATTATCTAAATATCAATAAGATTCATAGTGAATCACAATTTTAGAGTTTTTTCAACAAATAGAATATTGTAGGTTGTTTAACAATTTTTTTCAATATAATTATATTTTAGCAAATAGAAAAAGAATTTTAAAGTAATTAACACTGATGAAAACAATTTGAGTTCTGACTTGTTTTATTTATTTGTTTGTTTTTGTATTGTATTGTTTTTGTTCTTGTTGTTTTGAGCTCCACCTGGCGGCCTTTGAAATGTTCACCCTCCCCCTCAAGCCACCTCTGTCCTTTGCTCTCGTTTTCACTTCATTCCAATTCTTCCATTCTTTGCTGTTCCTTTCTTTCAAATGCTATTCTTCTCCAACTAGTCTTCGGACGTCCTCCTGCCCTTCCAACTTCTGATGTACATTCCAGAGCTATGAAGCAATCTGCACTTTCACTTGTCCTTCCCCTTAAGCAATCCAGTTCCATAGCCTACATCTTATTTCACTAATTTTCACTGCTAAGGCTTTCAATTTCATCTTTGTCTCTACACGGACCCTTTCATTGAGATCTTCTCTCACCATCTAATCCTCAGTATATATATCTCAGACATCTAGTTTGATAAGTATTGGTGAGAAACCATGTTTAACAACCGAGGAATCTAGCGGTCTGTCACACAAGTGATCTCCCGATACCCACTACACAAAGTATCCAGATCTAGGCAGAAATGGTACTGATCTGATGGGATTCGGGGCTGGAAATGATCCTCATCCTCAAAATCTCACTCTCTCCCCAATCCTCTATACGGCCAGTAGCCGAGCAGTCAAAATAATCGTTCCGTGACTGTCGTGAGATCTCGATAACTGTGTTTCACAAATTTTCAGGTAAGCATAGTCCAGGTAACATTCGCCTGTAAGACGATTTTTTGAATGATTGTTTGACAAATATTACTGATTATTGGTGCAGTGTCTGCAATGCGTTACTTCGCTTCAGTTTGTTCGTCATTTTCCTCACATTCCTCAACTATCTGTTCTAGTTAGTTTTCCTTTAATATTTGCCCGTGCGGGCAGTCAATTTATAGTCTGAGTATCAGGCTCTCTCGAAGGCTAGGCATTCAAATATTATGAGATTTCAAAGCAATTGGTATCTACAGATTTTTATTAGAGGCTTAGTACACAGTTTTGCTGTTAATTAGCAGCGAATGAATAATCATTCAAGCCAACAAAGGAAATCAATTTCATTCGAGCGAACAGACCTCACTACAATTCTTGGTTTTCACATGACGCCATCAGTCGAAAAAAATTCTAGAATCACAGACACACAACATTGTAGTACTAATAGAAGTTCTCTCTGAATGTTTAACATTTTTTGTTGTTTATTCGTTGAGTTATTCACGTTCAAAAATATGTCACGCAATACACGAACTAGACGCTCTTAGAGCGTTAAGTCGCGCTAGCTATTTCTGAAAATTGAGAAAGACAGGATATTTCATGGGTGTTCGTATAGGCGAACGAGTGCAAGGTTTTAAACACGATAAGATTATTGTCTATCGTACGATTATATAACTGACTGTTTGAATGTCATTGCATTTTCTTTTAACTATAGACATGTTCGCAATTATCAAGAAAACGAACCTTGCAATCTCAAGATTATCAATAATCTCATTTGTAAGAGCACTGGCTACTCAACCAGGCATCCAGTCAACAAGTAGAGTCTCCTTCAGCCCAATACCGGCCGCTGACTTAAAACAAAGAGATTTAAATCCTTTGGCCGGGAGAAAGTATCTGCCAGGTTCCTGGAGCCAAACATTCCCAAAGTACCTAGCGAACCCCAGAGAAGATTTTCCATATGCAGTTCAGTTAGAAAACCCAGATAATGTATCCTTTTCAGAGTTAGGGAAGTTGTTCCGGAAAACACTTGATACCAACCTCCCACGCGCTTCTGCAGTGCTGTTACGAGGGACTGGTATTCAAAATTTGCAGAATTTCAAAGATTTAGTGCAAGCACTGGACTACAAAGCCACTAATTACAAGGGAGGGACTGGTAACAGAGAGGTCCTTGACCCCCTGATTTCTGTCTCTACTGCTGATCCAATGGAGTTCAACATTGAACTGCACAATGAAATGGCAGACACTCCATATTTTAATGCACACAAAGTGAGATATGATAGGATTATATGGAACGTCATTGTTTATTGAAGCTTTCATTTTTCTGATTACATTTTCAAGAACAAAAATTTTATTTTAATTAATGTCAATAATTAGACTTATATCGGACTGAAAATAGTTATCACATATATGTATAGCTAGTGAATTTTAATTTTTTTTTGGCAGGCAATATTTTGCTGCTTGCAGCCTCCTGGACCGAACTGTGGCGGACTCACTCCAATATCTAAGAATTCCAACATCTTAGCGAGTCTTGATCCTGAAGTCGTGGAAATTATTAAAAAGAGAAAGATCAGATATCTCAGATATGTTCCTGATGCAAGTGAGAAGCAGTATGCATCTTGGCAGCAATCGTTCATGACTGACGATAAAAAAGTAAGACACGTGACATAGTTTATTCGAGGTAGGGTTGTCGTACGTATTCCATATATGGTATTAACTAACAAGCGTATAGAGGCCCCTAACAAGCGAATAGAAGCACCTAACAAGCGAATAGCGGCCCCTAAGGAATCCCAATTTACCGGTGCTATTAGCAATGCAAAATACTTTAAATGTCACAAACAATTCGTTGTTTGCCAGCGTAATCTCTCGTGGTCAAGTTAGTTAAGGCGCTTTACATTTGTAGTCGAAGGGTTAGGTTTAGGGAAAAGGACGGGTCAGGCTATAAAATGTTAAATTCATAATTCTAAGTTAAAATTTGATAAGAAAATTTTTAATAAGTTAAGGCGTAGCTAAAAACTCGAATAAGTCGATAAAAAACTGTAGAAAAATATACAAGTGAAAAAAAGTATGGACCCCCGTTCGCTTGTTAGGTGCTTCTATTCGCCTGTTAGTTTGTGCCATATATGGAATACGTACTACAAACCCGCCTCGTTTATTCATGCATTTTTCGTTTGGGAACCCTTTGCTTTTTAGATTTGGGGTCCCTTTGCCGAAACTATATGCCATATATGGAAACAAGAAACAAGATGGCCGATTGTTCAGTAAAAGTCTTTCGCTTTTCGCTATAATATCTGCAAGTTTCAGATGTTTTATAGCTTCAAAAGTCGATAAAATCGCCAAAAACAAGTCCACGCGTATTTCCAAATATCAAAAGGTAAACTTTGACACAGTGCAACGCAATTTATTTTCACAATAATTACACTTAAAATAAACTGAAAAGTGGGTACTTAAGTTATATTTGTTCAAAAAGTCAAATTTCTGAGTTCAAAGCAGTTCCTTTGTTTCCTTATCATTTGTATATCTTCATGAGCAGGACAGGTCTTTCATATGATGCCTATTTCGGTTGACTTTACATTACAATGTGGTTTGTAACAAAGCAACGTACAATTCTGCTGCAGACTACACCAGCAAATATGTTCATCTTTCTAAGGTTATGACGGAACCTTCTGAGACGAGAAGACTTTGTGGCTTTATGGACGTTGTTAATAGATGGAAGTTCACTTGCAAAATTGACTTGGCTGGCTGCATCTACTGTCTCAATAGGCATCTTGTTAGACAAGATAGTGTCAGTATCAGCAGCAATGAAATTGGTTGAATCAAAGGAGAAATCCATGTCTTGTGTTATGTCAAACACGCTGTCATCACTCAATGTTGCAGATGAATTCAGTTCAGAAATGTTGTCATCCTCCTGTTCGTTTTGAACTTTGGGTCTTTCAACCTCGATGTAGTTAGTTGAATCAAAGGAGAAATCCATGTCTTGTGTTATGTCAAACACACTGTCATCACTCAATGTTGCAGATGAATTCAGTTCAGAAATGTTGTCATCCTCCTGTTCGTTTTGAACTTTGGGTCTTTCAACCTCGATGTAGTTAGTTGAATCAAAGGAGAAATCCATGTCTTGTGTTATGTCAAACACACTGTCATCACTCAATGTTGCAGATGAATTCAGTTCAGAAATGTTGTCTTCCTCTTGTTCTTTTTGTACTTTATGTACTTCAATGTAGTTAGTAGAATCAAGAGAAAAATCCATCTCTTGAGTTATGTCAAAGATACTATCGTCACTGAGAGTGGTTGATAAGTCATCATCATCAGTTACATAGTTCATTTGTGGAATTTCATTTACCGTGGATCTCGGAGTCGATGTCAATTCAACCTGGTATTCATCGTCAAACATTGACGCCGTGGTATCGTCCGGCAAAGGAAGGTTCAATTCCCTGTCCCAAGCTTCCTCGTCAACGATGTCCAGAACAAAAGGCGTGGTCTTTACCAAAGACGCCGACGCTTTCAGATGTCCAAAATTGCTCAGTTGGTGAGCGAAAATTTCACTGGACGATCCATGCATGTGATAAAATGGCATCAAAGCCAATGTAGTGTTGTAGTTATTGTGATGAACGCTATACATTTTCTGGCTTAATCAAGTGAAAATTTGCTTGAGACACAAGTAAGAGATTCAAACTCAACGCGATGTGTTTATCAAGTAAATCACCTTAGAGATACGATAGGCTATTGTTACGTCTATGAGCGCGGAATAGAGCTTTTTTTCTTTATCGACTTGCGCGCGCGCGGAATTCTTCTTTTCTGGCACCTGAGAGACTGAGCGCTGGTTAGTAGCAGAACAAATGTCTTGAAAACGAACTTTCCTGTATCCCTTTGGAATTAATAAAACTTCTTTTTCACAGGATTCGTGCAACAGTTTCACTACAAAATTCCAGGATTTTTTCAGTACTAGCACAAAAATGCGATTTTCAAGGACGAAATTTCTTGACGGTTTGCGAATGTTTCCAGTGGTGATTTCCAAAAATAGCCACATTTCAATCCAAACAGCAAACAACAAAATGTTAATTTTATCAGATTCAAGGAGTTTTTCAGGAGTTTTAGCGATTTTTCCCATTTTTAATAGCTTTTCAAGCACCATTGAAAACGAGGACCTCCTGGACTTTTCAAGGATTTCAAGTAGTGCAAACCCTGTTTTCAGTTTCAATTTGATTTCCGGCAAAAATTACCAAAAATCACTATTTTTATTTAGTAATACAAGGTGGCTTACTTTCTATCTCCTTATCAATGGTGCGATTTTCTGACTTAAACTTTTTCTTGTTGCTAATGTTTCGCATGCAGCGTTTCGCTTCTGATAACCGTGATGAATAAAGCATCAATGTTATAGATGTGCGAGAACGTACTGATCAGTGAGCCCAGATTGGACGGAAACATCATTATTCCTAACCTGTGCAATTCTTTGTCAGGTCGTCGAGGATTTCCTCAGAAAAGGCGGAATAAGTAACTACGCTTGGACGGACAAGAACCAACTAACGTACTGGTATACTCTGGACGCCTTCATACCACACCCCGTGACGGGTAAACCCATTTGGTTCAACCAAATAGAAAACCATCATTATACATATTTGAGCGAGTCACCCATGTACGAGGGAGTTGACTTGCCACCAAACAGGTATCCTTTTCATACACAATATGGTGACGGCGAAGAAATCGATCCAGAGATCATTGACCACGTGCGAAGTGCTGATTGGTCTAACGCTGTTGGATTTGATTGGAAGAAAGGTGACGTGATAGTGATTGACAACCTTGCAGCGAAGCATGCGAGACTAAGTTACACTGGACCGCGAAAGCTCTTGGTTTCATTGACATCTAACTAGTGTAAAACTGAGTGACTCTGGTTGCCTTATTTCGTCCACTGAAAAATGAAAAGGTTGTTAGTGCTTTGTTTTAAAAAACTCTTCTACATTATAGATTATAGCGAAATATATATGTAAAAATCGCATAACTCGTGACTCGAAACATCTTTCAATATATTAATTCTCCGCACGTTGCAACAAGTTTTGGTGTTTTCTTCGCGGCGTGTATCGTCTCCTGTATGTAAATAGGATAGGCCTACTTGAAAGGTTTTGAACTGACCACAAAAAAAGGAAAATATCGATCAGTTCTGTGACATTCCGAGACACTAAAGCGCGAGGGCGTTGTTTTTAATTTTCAAATTATCAAATTTTCGAGTTCATCCGAAACTCACATTTCAGAAAAACTCTTTCTGCAAGATATTCGCAAGATAGAAAACTTGACAAGATCACCGCGAGTGCTTGCGATATCTTACGGCAAATAACAGAAAGCTTTGTGATCGTTATTTTTAATATTATTGTAAAAGCTAATGTTGCGATAGGGATGTCGTAGCCTCTTTCTATAAGACTAGTACCATTGTTTGACGGCAGAGCAATGTGGCAGCAAAATGAGGCTAGGGCTATGGAAAGGGATTGCGCAGTCCCCAATATAACATCCTTTCAATAGCTTTAAAATAGTTACCCATGCTTGATGGTGAAGAAAGACAGGCTAGTAAATAATATTTTAATCAAAACCATGAACAAACATTTGAAATTCTATAATGTAACATTAATATCATTTGTTTTGAAATATAATGTAATGAGGTTCAATGAGAATTATTTGTCTGCAATACTGTTTAATATTGCAAGTACTTCGTCCAATGTCTTGTGGTGTGGGTTGACGATGTGGACCTCTCGTTTTGAGAGATTCAACTGGTTTTTTAGTTCTCTGAACCCATTATCTCCTGACAGAACGGTGAATGGGATTTCCTTTGGCAGCTGAACATCAAGTTTTCCTGCCTGAAGTCACAAAATCAGTTCTTGTCAAACCAACCTACTATGTATTTGTCCATGAAGTATTGTATTTATTAACCAAAATGGTAACGTGCATCCAGCAACCTTTGCGATTGTTTCGTTTGTTTTTTAAAGTTTTATTTGTTGAAAGGTGCACTCTGATATATTCAAAATAAGATTGCGAATTTTAGAATGTGAGAAAATCGTGCAAAGGTTGTTGGATGCACATGGGGCTTTAAGATGTGAAGAAGATAAGAAGAAAAAAGATCAAGTTTACAGGAAAGTGAGTAAGTGAGTGAGTGACTGATTCGTCCCCCTCCAATAACTCTTTGATTGCTTCGCAATCTTCGTGTTAAAAAGGAAAAGAGTGTGAATCACAAGGGGTAGGAAAGTAAGATGATGATATCTTTAAAAAAAGTACCTGGACACATAACGCAAAGTCTGCAGCATCCTTAGACTTGCCACATTTTGGATGAAGATAGAAGCAGTTCATTTCTTGGAGCTGTCTGAGAAGAACAGACGATGGAGATGGACACCATGACGTTGCTCCACCATGGAAAGCCCATACAAATGTTGATGGAGCAAACCTCAAATCAGATTCAAAAATCTTTCTCCAGTTGTCTACATCAATCTGTGAAAGAGGAATTCGAAAAATGGAGTCTTCACCAGTTTTCACCAATATTAAAACTCTAACTCTACTGTTTTAAGTCATTTAATGCTTACCAATATAATATGCTTCATGGAAGTTAATTTATCAATTTCCGGTGGATTTGTCGGTAAAGGTATTGCTGGTTTCATCCTGCAAACGTGTGCAAACCAGTTAGAGCATGAAGGGGAGAAGGGATAAAACACTAATTCATGTAAGAAAGCTGCAATCATGAACAAAATCCTTTTAGGACACCATCAAAGTTTTGATGGTGGGATATCTTGTGGAATATACAGTAGATGGTGGATTTCATCTCCCCTTCCCCAACCTACAATGTTGATGTCATTATACTCAGGAATGAAAAGCAGATGAAAACAGGCACATAATTGCAGTTGTTTAAAATAGTACATAACTAATCCACAAAAACAGTATAATTGCTGGAAAAAGTCAGCCCTTGTACATGACTTAACAGACATTGAAAATCAACCACATGTTCCATGTTGAGGGCTGTCATCAGTTTTGGCAGAACATACAGTACTTATGGCATCAAAATGGATAGTTTTCATTATTTCATTATATAGTTTTCATTATTTCATTATAATTAAAACCAACAGTGAATATGAAGCTGTTAGCACCGCCTCACCTTATATTTTTAGTACATTTTTTTTGTTTTGTGTGTTTGTCTCTGATGTGGTTTTCTTTCCCCAACAAAGTAGTGAACCTTTTATTGCACTGAAAAATAATAATTATATAAAAACAGGCTAACTATATATTATAATGTTATCCAAAATATAAAATAATTATGCAATGAAAATGGAACTTTATACTCACGTAATTACATGTAAACTTTTTTGGCAAAACTTTGATATTCGCTTGGMCTTTGAGATCATTATCTGGAATACCTGGAATAGTATTCGAAATATTATTTGATGGGTTGTAAGTGCAATATATTTATAATATCTATTTGTATCAAATACACAATTTGTATTTGTATAATATGTTAAGATATATAATAATTTTCTTTCATAACATAATTATATCATTAAGCATTAAACGATAGATTGATGTAGTTTACAGTCAAAATAAAACGTGTGTGATGGTTGGAAGAACATGAGAAAAGATCTGTAATTTATCACAACCCATCAAGCAAGTGATTTAGCTTTTCAAGTGTTATAACAAAAGAAAGTGTCAGGCTTGACTGGCCTGTCTTAAAGTCTTTTAATGTTTTTTTTTCTTAAATCGCTACACCTCACAACAGTTTTTTTTTTGCAATTACATGTAGTTGTAAATAAAAGAATCATTATAAATTATATTGAAAACATCTATTAAGGTTGGTTTTCACTAGCAATGCACTAGAGCAGGTGCAGAAGAAAGCTTAGAAGCAACCGCAAATGCAAGATGACTTTTTTCATAGAGAAAGCCACCCAATGCAGTTATAAAGCAAGCGCAGTAGCAAGCACAAGATATCAAAAATTTTCTTTTTTTTACTCTTGCACTAGATTTTGATAGTCAAAACAAAATGCAACTCAAGCACAACATTTTGCCATTGCATCTGCACTGGCATCTTGCGTCGCTAGTGGAAACCAGGCTTAAGTGACTGAGAGTTAAAAACATGTTTAACAAACCTCTTAATCGTTTATCTGGTATGTTTTGCTCAGAGCTGTCGTCATCAGCTGTCAGAATCAATAACGGGTCTCTCTTTCTCTGTTGTGATAAATGCATTCCAAAAATACATCAAATATTTTATTTATCTATTACATGTATTATTCATGTTCATTTAAATCATTATAACATGCCATAATACCCTTTGTTATATAAACTTATGAAATAGAGCAAACACAGGAAAACCATGAAATAAAATCAAACTAAATAATAACAAATAGCAGCTATTTAGAGACAATTTGTCAGTATCAATGAACCAGAGGACAATGAAGATGAATCCACATGGGACTATTTTTCATTCATCTTTATTATTATTGGTTTATTGATACTGACAATTTGTCTCTAAATAGCCGCTATTTGTTAGTATTTAGTTTGATTTTATTTCATGGTTTTCCTGTGTTTGCTCTACCAGGAAATTTCTAGTGCAAAAAAGTGATATCTTTCACATGTGAAATAACATGTTACCTTGGATACTCTGTACAAAATTGCCCTATTTCGTGCCTTTGAGTTTATATAATAAACAAAGCATTACATGGGTGCTTGGAGATACAAATTTTATCTTCTTATGTTCAATTGATATCAGTGGAACACTCAAAGATAAAATGCATATCTCCAAGCATTCGTGTAATAATCCTCTATTTCTCACGGAAGATAACATAAAATGTAGTGTATTACATGTAATAGACAATGTTTTGGAACTAAAATACTGTTCTTTTAGTCTTGACTTCATGAAGTTTTTTTATGCTGACTTTTGGTTATTTGTAGTTGAAACCATCAAGTCACAATAATAATTACCTTTCTGGTTGTGCTATTTGTTCCTGACAAAATTGGTACAGGTTCTTTTGAACTTTTCGTTTCTTTAGATGTACTGTCATCATTTGAAGTATCCACTGTATTCCTTATTTTGCTGTGATTATCATTCTTCGAGGTTTTTGCAAGTGCCATTTGTGCTCTGGTATTTCTTCTAGTTCTATTTCTTTGAGTTCTTTTGACCACAATATTATTTCCATGTGACAAATTACTATTGGATATTGTACTCTTATCATGCGCCTTGGGATTATTTGCATTCAATATAAACTCAACTACCCTTTCATGAGGTCCAATATTGTCCACTGTCTTGTCTTGAAATGTTTCTTCAAGTGCAATGATGTCATCATCCGTACATGTAGAATTAACCTCTACAATACATTCATGCACATTTTTATCATGAACTGGATTAACCTTCACCATCCGCTCCTGTGTAGTACTGTCATTAGGAGAACAAATTACCACTGTTAATGGCTTTCTAGCTGTAGATGGCTTCAAAGCTACATTTTTTGTTGATGCTGACACGAGAGGTTTAATACGAGCAAGTGGCAATTCTGACTTCTTTGAGTTCATTGTAGAACTTGTTACTGAAGCCAAACTTGTAGGAGAGTTTAAATTTTTTGTATTTGTACTTGTAATGTCATTTTGTAAAAATTTTGAACAAAGAGGAGGCAATGGTGGAGGTTCAATCAAATCACAGGCCTGTGTATTTGATGATGTAGTTCTTTCTGATAGATTATTATAATTTAGACATCTTTTCCCTTCTAATGGAGAAAGTTTTAAGCGAGGCAATATACTAGAATTGCTATTACTTGATGTGTCTGTGTCTTTACCACATGAATTTGATTTAGACTTTGAAGTTTCAAAACATGGCTGTTTAAAAGGACTTTCTGAATCAGATAAAATATCAAGAATGCAATACTGTCTATTTTTTACAAATCTGTGAATACTTTTAGGATGTCTAGCTTGAATGTGTCTGTCAATCATGTAAACAGAAGAAAGAGCAGCCAGGCACTATAATGCAAAAGAAGATAAAAGCTTTAGAACAATAAAGTACATCCATTATACTTGCAAGAACACGTTGTAAGAAACTACACAAAAAATGCTTTAATCAAACAATAGAATTGTGTTAAATAATGTTTACTCTGTTGAAGATCTAGTAATATGCTCTGTCTTCCTTGCAGCTGTTACTAGTATTACACAAAGCTTCATCCCCTAGTAAAGTGACTTTTGGCAAAGAAAATGACAAAACTGGAAGTAACAGCTGTGAGAGACTAATGGAAAGTAGTCTCTAGAGACATACAATATTAGATTCAACTATTGTTCTGTATGATATAATGAATTTTGTGGCTGTTTATCATCATTATCGTTACAAAAACTATTGCTGAGTGTGATACAAGCTACAATATTTACCTCAGGACATGTATAATATCTTGGACTTTGAGGTGAGACACTTGATGTATACTTTGCATACCACTCTTTCATCTGTATGTTCTTGTCATTCATTATGGAATCATTTACTCTAATACAACTGGAATCTGAATCATCCAGGTTGATAACATCTGAACTGGTTGCTTTGCCTGTTTCCTCATATTTCTTTTGAGTATCATTAGGTGAGTTCTTTTGCTTTTTTTCTTCGGTAAATATTTTGTTATTGACACTATTTTTGTCATCATCATCATCGTCAGAGTCACATAAGACGACTACTGGAGCTGGGGGTTTCGGACGTGGGTTATCAATAATTACAACTTCATCATCTTGATCGATATTGTCATATATTATTTGGATACTGTCATCCATGCTGTAATATCATGAACATTGTATTATTATGTCATTTAACTTTTTATGATATGAACTTTTTATTTATCTATGAAATACCTAAGCTTATATTTCTCACTTTTGAAAAGTTTCTATTTTCATCAATGGAAATAACATGTTATTTTTACTTATCACATTCGTGGTAACTCAATATAACTTAAGTTACTTGCACAGATTATTTTCGTACACAGTACAATAGAATGTTTTGAAAGATTTGATGCATGTTTGCAAAACAGGCCGGAAGCCAAAAAAGCTTGTGAATTGGAATGAAAAAATTCTGATATGTGCGTTGAAGATATTTGAAATGCCAGAATATATCCTCTTTAATTCAATATGACCATAAATTGGTTAAATCTTATGAGTAAGACTTAATTTTAGCGGTTCTTTCGAACGACGGTACAGAAGACGAGCTACAACTTTTCGCAACGACAAAGGAACATGTCTTACATTCAATGAGAAAAGTTACCGCTAAACTAAAACTCACCTTTTTCAGAATTATTTGAGGAAATTTCCCCGTGGGATAGTCTACATTTTGAGGGAAAAAACAGTAGTCAACATTACAAAAATTGATACTGAACTCTGAACTGAACTTTGTTGCTCGGCGGGAAAGACTCGCTTTGGTGTAAGACTAGTTTCCCGCGACTTGTTGATACACAGGAAACCCAACAACTAACGTTTGGATCATGGAGTGTGCTGCATTTTTATTTAGAGAAAGTTAAGCTGAATTTCGGACTCCATTTTCAAAAATATTGATATTTATATATTTTGAAAATGTTAAGTGTATTATATATATTACATTCTCTGCGGTTTCTTGTCCCGGAGGCGATAATGCTTGGAGTAGCTCCTCACTATCTAGCCATGTGGACATCATGGCGGATTGCATCGTGTTTGCTGCCTCGACGCGCTTATGAACGAGGGGACGAGATATTGTATGACATGTATCAGTCACTAATTTGCTTCTTCTTTGAGACGTACACTGGAGCTGAGGTATTTTTTAGTAACAAATTATATAATGTAAATAGTGAGAAATGTGTTTAGTGACGTCACATTGTGTAGATGTGTGATGTTTTTAGTTCATTTTATGTATTACAGGATAATCTGGTTGATAGAGTGCACGCCACACAAGCATGAAACAATTCTTAACAAATTAGCGCT